GAATTCTCTAAGCAGAGCATGCTGACGACGAAGATTAGGTGGAGGTATATGGCTCAGTAGTGGAAGCCACTCCACAGGTGTAGACTTGATCGTTCCAGATATGAGACGCATGGCGACATTGAGCTGGGTATCTATAATTTTTGTGTGGACGCTATTCAGCCAAACAGGAGAGCAGTATTCAGCTGCGGAGTATACGAGTCCAAGGGCTGAACACCGGAGTGTACCTGCTGATGAGCCCCATGTAGTCCCGCAAAGCTTCTGTATGATGTTGTTACGGGTTCTCAGCTTTGCTGCGGTGTTCTCAAGATGTTTCTTAAAGGAGAGTGTTCTGTCCAGGGTGACGCCGAGGTACTTGGGATTATGGTTGTGCGTGAGCAGTTGGTTATCAATGTATACTTTAAGTTTTGTGTGGGCCATTTTGTTGTTCAGGTGAAAACAGCTAACCTCGGTTTTTTTGGGGTTAGGTTTAAGTCTCCATTGTTTAAAGTACTTAACCAGACGTTCCAGATCTTCCGTTAGGATTGCCTCGGAGTTTTGTATTAAGGAGCTTTAGGTTGCAAGTGCCCAGTCGTCTGCATATCCAAATTTTTTAGATCTGGTAGGGGGCATATCAGCTATATACATATTAAATAGCAGAGATGCAAGTACGGAGCCAAACACATAAAAAAGAAAGGAATAACACTAGCTTTTCGAACAAATAACAACCTAGGCAATTACATCAAAAACAACAAGAGCCAAAATAAAAAAACACTTACACAGTGGTGTGTACAAACTTAAATGTGGCGACTGTCCAAAAACTTACATCGGTCAAACTGTTAGAAACTTTCATAAACGAATAGCAGAACATAAAAGGGCTTTCAATAATAGAAAAACAGATTCTACTTACGCACTTCACCTTCTAGATCACAATCATTCTTTTAATGACGAATTCAAAATTCTTCACATTCAAAATAAGGGCCTTAAGCTATCCTTGATAGAATCTATGGAAATCAACAAATTAAGACACACAGATATAATTCTGAATGACCAACTTGAGACAAACAATTCTCCCCTCCTCAACCTATTTCATTAGAAACTATAAAATGTAAACGCATGCCAAAAGTAGATCACTTGGGAAAGGCAATCAGCCGAAACCGCTGTAGTGATAAGAGATTAAAATAAATTTTGTGGAAGTTTGAAAACAAAGTTTTCAGTATTTTATTGTTACATAAAATGAATTTCCATCAAGTTACCTAAGTATTTTTATTTGGCCATATGATATTTTATTGCAGATGCTCTGGTTTCCAAAAACTTAGATATTTCCGTTATATTCCGGTCCTTTGCTTTTTCTCTCCAATCTCTCACGCCTATTTCTGACAAATTTCTATACATTTTCTATACAAGTTTTCGTTGTTATTGACATGGTTTTCTGTGTGGTCTGCCATTCTTATTTATTGCTTCCTCTTCTCTAAAATATATTAAGTATAGTAAATATTTTACTAAAAAATCAAAAGTTTTACTATCTTTCTAAATAATACTAAATAAATAATCAATTACATTTAAACTTGGCCTGCTCAAGGATAAGTCTCCATTCTCTCCTATTCTTCTCCTTAGCTTTCCAGTTTCGTACTCCCAATATTCTTAAGTCTTGCTCCACCCGATCCTTAAATCGTGCTCTGGGTCTGCCTCTCCTTCTCACTCACACAGTTAAACTTTTATCCTTTGGTATAATAAACTTTCCTCCTTTGGATTTCCAATTCCAGATGTATTTAGAAATCCGAAATATAGTTGTTAAGGTATTTTGAAAAATGGAGAAATTTAGAAGCTAAAACGTCAGTATAGGTATTTTAGAATTTTTTGTATTGCCTAAGAAGTATTTGATAAAAATTATTCTTGTTTACGAGAAGCTGAAAATAATTTTATTGATAATTTTCGGAAATTTATAACACACTAAATGTCAATTGTCAATTTCATTTATAAATTGCTTTGTTTAAAAAAGTTTGCTTTATAATAAATTTAAAAGAAATTGGTGAATTAAATTTAATTTTAGATTAGTTTTAAAAGCATCCAGTTTGTACTACTGATTACATATCTCAATTGTATGACATGCCAAATAGCAATGTACTGTTGGTACGGACATCTCTTGATGGAAAGTGTAAGTATTACCTTTTATTCTAAATATGTTTTAAATTTAAATAATACAATATAAATAGAACTTATAAATGCATATGTAAATATATCGAAAATGTCATATTACACAATGTTTATATATACCCTAGGATTAGTAAACTTCTTCTTCTTCTTCTGCCTACTTTATAAATAGGCTTAATGCCTGTTTTTGGTGATTTGTCTCTTGCTATTCGTACTATTCTATTTTCTGTCATTCTTTCGATGTGTTGATTCCATTCCACTTTTCTTCTTTTGGTCCACGCGTTTATTTCTTCTATAC